AGACGAAGCAGTATTTTTAGTATGATAACACTTACATACTATATCCGGCTTAATATTCATTCTTGAGGTCTCTTGTGACCAAAAAAGAGGGATTGAGCCACGATTCTGCACAATAGAACTTATTTGCATGGGATGGTCTTCAGGAACGTCCTCGGACACTATCTGCTCTGTTTCAACATCATTAGCAACATTGCCACTTTCGTTTATCCCTCGTTTCAAGTACCTAAAATCAAAAGACGTTTAGGAGAAAAGAAGCATAATGACTATCTCAAGTTATAATACTTCAAATACAATGTATAATTTACATTTCATTATGTTGGAAAGAACCATGAAAATGGGCACAATGCTTGTGCTTATATTCTTATGAAATTAACAATTTATGCTTCATATGATTTTCATGTCATTGCTAGAGGTTAGAAAACAGCGCAAACTTATAATAGTCATGTTTAGCACAGGACCCGAAACTAGGGTGTGAATGAAATCTGATACCTGGTTCCAGCATTATGGCGAGAACGCCTAGCGATAAGAGTGAGTTTGAAATTCCGTCCAGCTTCAGAAAGAGTTGTCTACATGCACAGTAAAAATAGGTTCAGCACCCATGAATCAAACAGTACTGTTAGACTATCCAAGTATTCGAGGATAGAGATACTAGTGTATCATAGCTGTATCTGAAATAATACTACCAACAATATCAAAACGGATGCATGACTATTACATCTGCATGTAAGACAGAAAGCTTCTTCCTAACCTTTTTTAAGAGAAACATGATTTCCAGAAGTAAAATAGTGATCCGGAAGAAAATAGTCCACAAATAAAAAAGATACCGCTGTGAGAATAGAAAAGGAATATTTGCATTTGATTCGGGAAAACTTTCTTTTCTCTAACAGTGAGGTGCATAGAAAAAAACCAATCTTACCTGCTTAAAGAAACCGTACACCAATGGTACAGTCCACACGGTATTCCGAAGATGATGTCGAATTCCTCGAGTCAAGAACTCGTTCCACACAAACATTTTCTTATAGAGAGTGCCTCCACTCTCGTGATCGCATAGATTCTTCTGGAAACTTCGCATTATATTGTAAGAATAGCTGAAAAAGAAGTCTTTTGTAAGGTCCACCACACACAGGAGCCTCTTGTACCTGTTTATCAACAAGTGGGAATACACCATATAAGGAAACGCAAGGGTTAAATGACTTCAGTTCATAAAATGGGTGAAAGGGTGTAATTACTATAGATGTGCACTCTCTCTTTTCACCAAACAGAAAAGAAAAACAGAACTTTTCTTCAACAATGGGCATGAAACAAAAAAGGAAAAAAAAGCATAGATTTAGCAGAAGACATATCAAACCACCTGTTTTCGTCTCTTGAATTTGCAATGTTGCAAACCACACTAGAATTTTGCAATGAAATAATCTCGCTTTTCGACACTTCATAGATACTGTGACCACAAATTTCACCAATCACTCTTCTTTCAGTTATTAGCAGCATGTAGTAGGGTCCCAAAAACTTAATGAACCCTGAGAGCACATAAAAGGAAAAACATTTGTGAGAACAAGCTGTAAAGCAAAACCATCTACTCTCCTGTAAACATAGCTTGAGAC